ATCTTCAGGCAACCAATCTGTAAAGAGAAAATACTATACAAAATACTATTGAATACCAAATATTTCAAATGATCTTTTAGTAAATTTTTACTTTTAATAAATTTAAAATACTCATGGATCTAACAGCACTGACAATCGTGATATATATATATATTATATTCATTTATATATATATATATATATAAGTATATATAATGAAAGCACACATTATGTAATGAGAACACATTACACACACAATTAGTTGTGTTTATTGACTATTTTATCATTTTATACTTTTTTCTTGAACTTTAGTAGAAAAAAATAATATAATAATACTAATATAACGCACACACTCAACATAGCCCCGCACTAAGGAAACCCTGTGTCGCGGGTGCCACGGACACACACATGGACGACCACAAATTACACCCAAACTCAGGATATAAATAAATGTAGGCTATACAAATTTTTCTCCCGGCCCGGGAATCGAAACTGGGGCCTCTGTGTGGCAGTCCGGCATGGTAACCGTTCGGCTACGGAGACAGGTAAAAAGTTTTTATATTTAGTAAAATGGATGTAATCAATGTTAACAGTTACAGTTTTTACATTTTCAGCCGTTTCAGCTTTGTCACAAAACCTAAGAAAATGCATTTTGTTTACTTTCGATTTTTTTTTTTCTATAAGGGTTGAGAAAGACTGTGATAAATCGATGCTAATTTAATTGCTAATTTATTTCTATAATTATGAATACAAAGATCGAACACTTGGAAAAAATTGTTCTAGCCAACCGTGCCAGACTCTTTGCCAAATAAGTCACGGAACAAACCAGCGGACCTTAGGATTTTTTTCTATGTGCTTGTTGCAGATCTTTTTTTTGTTTTTAACGACTTTTTTACCGTAGCGCCATCTATGAGAAATTTATTTCTTCATTTTTTCTGAGTGTTCGATCTTTGTATTAATAATTATAACAAGCTAGAGGAGTAATTTCACAAAAAGTTATTGGATATCACGGTGGTGAAAAATTTTAACATGCATTCAGTAAACTAATTATAATTCCAGAATTCGATATTAATTACAATTTATTCCTAAATCTTATTTATTTAAATATAAACATTAAATATGTTTAACGGTGTGTGTATAACGAAATTCACTTACTAGTAGGATTGTCAGGTTGTTCAGACCTGTCAAGCACAACGCCACCTTTCAACAGGAACAGGTACTCGTTAATGTTCAATTTGTTAGCTTGAAACAGGATACGTGACACAATGTGGAAAGAGAGAAGGAGTTTGTGCCGTTCGAAGAGCGCTCGGCAGGTGTTCCTAGGAAATCATAGGGTACGGGATGATTCACGGGTTTCTAGGCCTTAATCAGCCTGGAATAAGTTCGAATTTTAATTTTTTGACGGGACGAACAAGTCGTGCGCATGATGATAAGCTACAAGCCCATCCATACCTATTTGCTACTTCTTCTAAATAATCGCTACCTTTGATATATTCTGAGAAATAAAAAATAATAATTGACCAGCCATTCTGACGTCAGGATGGCTGGTTGCCACTTCGTTCAGCATGAAGGGAGCAGATTTTTCAGAAGTATGTATTACCAATAATTGCTACCTTCACGAATTAAAGGTATACGCTTCTTATCTACATTAGTTTAAAAAATATAACCGATTGAAAATTTTACGAGAAAGGCCTGATTAAATTAAAAAAGCAAAAGTTTTTAGTGCTTTGGTGCCATAATACAAAGGGCAGGCGTTGGTACTTCTTAGTAAAATTTTCAATCGTTTATATTTTTTTAGGCCACTATGTTGTATAAGACTCACTTGTAAACAGAATAAGTGTGGAATTCATTCAAATTACTGATGCGTTCTTCAAGCTCGAAGCTCTTAGCGCTGCGGTCTATGGAGTACGTGAACAGGTCGATGTACGCGTCCAGCGAAAACTGATACATAGGGTCGATACGTGATAAGTCGTTCAACGCGAAGAACAACACTGAAGCGCGGACTGCTACTGGAACATAACCCTGGGACAAATTTATTCATTTATTTATTTATTTATAACTATAGATCTACCCTTACAGCTATGCATAGCCAATGTGATAGAGTACAACTCAAGTGACTTATAAGCTACTAACTAAGAAAAATCTAATATGTACTATGTATATACATGTAGGTGCTAACCATAAATTCTATCAATTATCCTATATTTACAAATTATATTATATTTGAAAATAACAAACAATAAAAAGAGTCATTCTTGTGAATTCACACAGTGTACATGAAAACAAATCAATTATGTCCGCCACCTCGTTTAAAATTCGTAACGCTCGTGTGAATGGGGCCTTTTGGTTAAGATTAGTCCGAGAGCATGGCACTGCCAATAACTGCGGTTTTCGTCGCCTCCCCACGTAGTCATTGGGTACGCACAAAGACACCCTTTCGAGTATACTAGGATTAAAAATTCTACCTCTAATTATTTTAAAAATCATCAGTGCCAGTGAACAGTCTCGACGTACTTCCAGTCTGTTATATCCAACCATACCAAGAATAAATAGGCTAGGATATACTCGTATAAGCGGATAGGCAGGATAGATCCCGTACAACCTCATATATAAATGTCTTGTGAATTTGTTTTGTATTCGCTCTAACATAAGATTATATTTAATTTCACTTGGAGCCCAGATGAGTGCATTACATTCAAGTTGGCTTCGAACTAAAGCATTGTACAAAGCTTTTACTGCTTGTGTATTTGTAAAATTATGAACCATACGAAGAACGAACCCCAAATTTCTAAACGCTTTTTTACAAATAGTAATTATGTGGCACTGGAACTTTAACTCAGACGTAAACCGAACCCCTAAGTCTTTAACTTCATTTACCCGCTGTAATGTTGCAGAGTTTATTTTATAATCGTAACTAACGGGAATATGTTTACGAGTATACGAAATCGCATATAACGCATATATATAACGCATTTCGACGTATTAAACTGTAATTTATTTTGCTCACTCCATGAAACTACGTTATTAATATCGTTTTGTAATAATGCACAGTCCGCTGCACTACCGATCGGAAGAAAAATTTTTAGGTCATCTGCAAATAATAAGCATTTTGAATTTCGAATGACCCTCGGCAGGTCATTAACCATTATTACTTAGGCCATTTTATTAGATTTCATACATTTAAGTAATTCTATAGCCGAGTGTCGAACAATCTGCAACCCTTGAGGATGCCACGTAGAGAGGCTTAACAGGTGTCGAGTATATTTTTGATGGTGGTGCCTGTGACTGCAGTGCGCTTGTTTTATTTATTTTATTAATTTTATGCGAAGGGAGGGTGGAAAAATTAAGTGGATGAAAAAATATTCAACACAAGCGTAGCTATTTTGCACGATTTAACCTTCACTGGGTTCGCCGAGTAGCAATTAATTTACTTCCATTTTTATTTCCACACATTTGTTTAAACTTCGTGCATTTGTCCAAAAACTGCATTCACTTTAGTCATAAATAGCCCTAGATTGTAGTTTTCAGGAACCATAAATATAAATAATATAAACACAAACACAAACTTTCGAATTCAATAAAGAGTACTATCAAAAAATTCCAAGTTTAACATATAAAACTGATACGGAAAAAATAAACAAAACAATATCTAAACTGTCTAAATTATAAAGTCGTGGTCCAAGTTGCCGAGTGCAGTGCGACAGATGGCGCTGTGCAGAATTAAAACAAGCCGGAAAGACAAACACACAAACTTGCTGCGAAGTTTATTAAATTTCGTGAAACTTTGCACGGCATCTGGATTTTCGGGCTGGATTTTGATATTTTGATTTTGGATTGCATACTACATTAAAACTTAAGAACGAATTAAGTATGTAACGTTAAAATTACATTAATAAATACAATTTAAACACACAAACAAGTCTTTGCACATCAATTATTTATAAATACGTCATTGCAAAGCCAATTTTATCATATTAACACAACATTGAACTTACGTTTCTCAGCAAAACAACATTATTAACCCATTCATTGACAGAAGATATTTAAATAGATTTTTTTTTTTGTTGGAAAGTGGATACCTGAGATGTGGTCTCTCATTTAAATTTGAAGAAAATATTCCACCACTAAGGGTGGCAAATTAGGGGTGGATGACTTTTGAGGTCGGTTTTTTTAGTGTTTTCTTGTGTCATAGTGCTAGTTTATTTATTCGATATTTATTATAGTTATTATTATGTTTTATCTTTGGAGCAATAATTTTGAGTACACATTCAAACTGCAAATATGTATTGAAACGGCATTCACTATAGCCGGTTCGATTTATGGATTCTACGGTGTCAATCTCTATAGAAAAATATTCCATTTTACGCATGAAGTGGTAGAGGCAATTTGTTTTTATCTTTATCATTTTCTGTTCCTATCTACTTAATTATTCTGTAATTTTTACTTAAAATTACATCTTCAACAAGCATTGTTTGTTCTTGGTATATTAAAACCAATTTACTATATTTTTTTTGTATGATGGTTGAGAGATTAGTTAAAAACAGTATGCATGTAACGTAAAAATTTGAAATGTCACAGTACCCATCCCGTATGAAATGGACTCTAGCCGCTCACGCGATGCGCTCATCCTACCGCAAAATGGCGGCTATTTGGTTTCGCAAATTAGAAAAGGATTCAGTTTAAATGCAAATTTTAAGAAATAAAAATTATTATTCTGCATTGCTAAATAAATACCCTCCGTACTACAACAAAAATATCTCAAATAAAATGCAGTAATACACCGCAAATCCTGCACTTAAAAAGCACTAATGAAATTTTTGGTGTACTTGGGTAAATATGATAATATTCCGTTTGAGTGGTTCTAATGTTTACCATGAAATTACTCCTTAAAGTATAGTTTATAAACATTTATATTCAGGATAAACTTAAAAAACGCACTTACGGTATGTTTTCAATAAATAAACACCGACATCACCAGCCCAAACAATAACACACACGATTGTCGTGACGTATTTTTGAAATTGTTTATTTTTTTTTAAATGACAGACCCAGGCATTAAAAACTTTATGGTTTGCTAGAGTAGTTACCGAAATAGCAATTAGTATTAGTCCTTTTACCTGTTATAATTTCGATATCCGATAAATCGGTATAAAACCAACACCTTCCAGAGACGCATGAATCGCGTGAGCGGATATTCTGGCAATTACCGGTGTGTCATATTGAATTAAATTTATTTTCGTCGTTAGAAAGTTTAAGCGCGAAAATAGATGCATATAGCTACAAAAGACTAGCGAGATACTGGAACGTACCTTGCATCACCGTACAATCTTAATGTGCATATCTTAAATATGTATGTGCAACGTGCACAAATATGTGCGTGTAAATAATTTAATTTTTCAATAAGTTGTTGATACTTTTCTTTGAAGAAGATACTTGGAAATCGCACTGTGAAAACCGTAGTTAGTTTTTTTAATTAATATATTGAACTGAGATACTCCGTACTGTGACATTTTGATGTTTCAACTTACTGTCCATGTTAAAACACATTGGTCCTAAAATGCAGCCCTGTGGCACTCCAATTTTCTACAATTCAATTTCAATTGTTACATTCATAGACGCTTCATATTTATCATTGTATGTTTTATCACCATCTCGCAATTTTTGTTGCTCTTTTTTGTCTCTTAACATTACCTGACGCATCCATACTAAATAAAGGCTAACGGGAACATAAACCATCTTATTACCAGAGCTACCACTGAAAATGCCAATTATGGTACCATTGTGTATAAGAGGACCTCCAGGATCTGCAACCCGGCGCATTTTTTGTTCTGAGTTGACACATATACTTGGATGCCATACTACTTCTAAGTTACATTCGATTGTCTCTCCTTGTCCAACAAGTAATGGTGTGGAATCTATTGCTTTAATTTGACTTATTAGATCAACAGAATCTATAGCTCTTTGCATCCAAGTAAATCCATATCCCGCAAACACAACTGGTGACTCTGTGAATTCTTTATAGTCAACACTGGATAGTTTGGCCAAAGGATTAATTGGAATTTTTTCAACTTTGATCAGTCCTATGTCGTCGGTAACAGACCAATATTCTTTGTTACGCATCATCTTATGTTGTGGATGTTTTATTTGCTTAAGTACGCTGGCCTTCATTTCTAATTGTCGTGAAATAGTGTTGCCGTAAGAGACAGTTACATTTTCATGTACTAGGCAATGGGCTGCAGTTATTACCCAATTACTTTTGATAAGGCTGCCTGTGCAAAATTTGATAGGTTCTGGAGTCTTACCATGCGTTTCTATGCATACCACAAATGAAAAGTAGTTATTAATATCAAGATGGCCATTGTAATCTCTTTTCGTGCTTTCAGAATCACTTGCAACGTTAATTAATAATTGTATCATCAAAAGCAGAAACATGGATTGCTATTACAGTAATTACTTATGTTCTTGATGTTGTTTCATTGTGTCAAAGGTCTCTTTCTTCTTCTGGTTCAATTTCTGTCTGTCTGTCGAGTCAATGGCTACACCTAATATTCAGCTTCTATTATTGTTTCGCCAGCAGCGTTAGGAACACAATCTTAAAACTGATTCATGACGTAATGCAAAAAAATGAGTTGTTAAAATATTGTAACAAGCTGCTACATATCTAAATTACACAGGAAATTATTATTGCACATAAATTTAGAGTAGTGTATTTGATTTTAATACCCATAAAAAATATACATAATAAAATAAAAAATATAAATCTCGAACAAGATAAGCATCGCGTTTCTTTTGTCTGCAATTCCAGAAATAGCTGAAGAACCATACATATTTTCAGGACATTGAATTGTTAACTACGTAAACTCAGTATACTAGACACGTTGTATGTCAGATGGGACAAATTACAATCAACGTTGTGAAGACGCTGTTTGATCAGAGCAAATTGTACAATCGTAGAGGAATCTTGCTTAACTGAATTTCGAGGAATTTCTAGTTTGGATTTATGGTAAATTTGTCATTACGAAATATTTGTAATGATTTGCTACTGTTGTCTAGTTAGATTATTACTATGTAGATAATTATTGTAACAATGGAGTTTAATTTCTCGTTTAGATTGCAACATTACTCAATAAATATTTTTGGCAAAATTAATAAAAAATCATTGAGTAAGATTATTGATTGAGGCATATGATTTGCAAAAGTTTGTAGATATATGAAGTGAGCAGTCGTCTGACCCAAACTTTACAATTTCTTTACAAAGATTGCAATACTTGAGTTAGAAAAAATGGAGGTTACACCAAATGTTTTAAGACATGACTGAGTTACTTGTCAAATGCCTTGTTTAAGTCTATGATATCATTCTAGCATCGTCAGTAAAACAACTACAAGACATGGTAGACATGAAATGTACAACAGTGAAATTGAATGTAAGTAAGACGAAGGTGATGGTGATTTAAACCAATAAAAGTGTCACAGAATTCGAATGGTAGCGAGACTCTAGAGTAAAAGAACATAATGAGAAGTAAAACAATTTTTATGTGTCTAGGTGGTCTATTGACACGAGATGATGTGCATGGATGAGCGTTCTAGCAGCGTACATCGGTAACAGTTAGAAACGGTAACGCAATGCCTAGACAGGCAAATTTTTTTGACACGATGCTTTAACCGACTTACGAACAGTCCCTTCCAGATCTTTCATTCCTAAAACCAGCTCTTGAAGGTTATCTCAATACACATTGAAAGTTTCTCTGAAAATAAATCGATTCTTCTTTCGGAACTTTCGGTAAGTATGAAGGTGATATTGAACATATGTGATATTGAACATAAAAGAAAAGCCAGAAATAGCCTGAAGGTATCGAGAATGACGGATCTGGCTACATCGAGGCGTGCTAGTTCTAACCCTGATGTACGGTAGTAAATGATGGGTGTAGCAGAAAAACAAGGTAAAGTGAATGATGTTTAAATGAGATCTTTGTGCAATATATGCGGTATTACTCTTAAAAACAAAATGCTCAGCAGTATTCAGAGAGAGCGTTGTGGTGTGAAAAATGCAAAAGAGCGAAAATTTATAAAAACATCTTCGATCTTTGTATTAATAATTATAACAAACTAGTGGCGTAATTTCACAAAAAATAATTGAATATCAATTCAATAAAAATTTAAAATACAGTGAATAGCAATATCTCTCGCCAGGGCCGGTAGCTGTAAAGGCATCTAACCGAGGTGATAAAACTTTCATAGATTTCTCATAGATGGCGCTACGACTAAAAAGTCCTTGAAAAACCAAATACAAAGACACGACAACAAGCACATAGAAAAATTCGTGAGGTCCGCTGGTTCGTTCTGTGGTATAGTCGGTATAACGTCTGGTACGGTATGTTGTTGTTGGTTGGTTGATCTTTGTATTAATAATTATAACATGGAAGAAGTTTATGTCACTCATGATCAAACTGAAGATGTCTTTTAAAAAGGCCCGGAATACACATACCCGTTTACATGTAATGTGAAGAGACTTATACGCGTGGAGAAAGCGAAAGAGGTTTGTTAGGAGCATAGTACATGGAGTTTCATGGTATCTGCCCAGCGAAGTGGGACACAGGTGTAACATTTGACGTTATGACCTTTTAAGGTTCTCTAATCTTATTGAAATACACGGTCAAAATAAACAAAACTTTAAATTTTGTCTGAATAAAAATTAACTTTTAACGTTATGTACTAACTCTAAATGTTCACCCAAAACAAGAGTGACTACGTTCTACAATGTTCCAGCTTTTCATCCATTGAGCAGTTTCCTTTGTAAGTGGCTCAACAACACTAATTAGGTAAAAAATACTCTCTCAAAGCGCCCTGTTGACCTACATTCGCGGGAGGGCACAATTTTATTTGACATTTCGTATCGTGACATTTTGCACGTGTTATCGTTACATTGTATCGTGCAGAATTACATACGAGTTAACATTGTTTAAAAGTAATTTATATATTTCTTGTTGACGAACATAACAAACCCTTCTACTGTATTCATTTAATTTTGTCCTATCTTGGTTTAAAATTTTTCTAATATTTTTTTTTACTGACAAATCCAAATAATAACAGCTAAGCAATGGCATTCCCTACCTGCAGAATTATTCCCTCAACGTTATAACCTGGGCCTTTCCAAGGCGAGAGTGAATAGGCACTATTTAGGAGTGTCGACTTCATCATCACTCTCCATCAGGTGAGATGGAGGTCAAAAGGACATTATTTAGAAAAAAACGAAGATAACGTACGAAATAAAATTAATAAATCTTTTTTCATATCATTCAGAATTTATGTCATATATGGTTCTTCTGTTTATTTATTATTAAATAAATTAAACCATTTCATTTTAAAAACTCTTGCTACGAATAAAAGCTTTTTTAATAATAAACATTCTTTATGACATACACCGAGGTAGACACATTTTCCACCTCATCAACACTCATCAATACTTTTATATACTCTAATTGGCCTTTAATGACGAAATTTATGTACGTATATCCGCTCACGCGATGCGCTCCTCCTACCGCAAAACGGCGACTATCTGGTTTCGCAAATTAGAAAAGCATTCAGTTTAAATACGAGTTTTTATAAATAATAATTATTATTCTGCATTGCTAAATAAATACCCTCCGTACTACCAACAAAAACATCTCAAATAAAATGCAGTAATACACCGCAAATCCTGCACTTAAAAAGCACTAGTGAAATTTTTGGTGTACTTGGATAAATATAATAATATTCCGTTTGAATGGTTCTAACGTTTACCATGAAATTACTCCTTAAAGTATAGTTTATAAATATTTATATTCAGGGTAACTTAAAAAACGCTACTTAGGGTATGTTTTCAATAAATAAACACCGAAATCACCAGCCCAAACAATAACACACACGATTGTCGTGACGTATTTTTGAAGTTGTTTATTTTTTTTAAATGACAGGCCCAAGCATTAAAAACTTTATGGTTTGCTAGAGTAGTTACCGAAATAGCAATTAATATTAGTTCTTTTACCTGTTATAACTTCGATATCCGATAAATGGGTATAAAATCATCACCGGCACCTCTAGGTGTGGTATGCGTCTACGGTTGCATGTATCGCGTGAGCGGATATGAGTGTAAAGTAGTAGGGTTTGAATACTCCATGTCATTTAGTACAAGTTGAAAGGCTACGTTTGAAGAAGCCTCATAGACGCTGAGTTGCAGATTTTTGCCGCCGATACAATGCTGTGTAGAGACACAAGAGGTTTCCACTAGCCACTAGGCACAGCTTGTCAAATTTTTCGCTGTTCTTTTTCTACTATTGGAATTTAAATGTGGCGCCCTTAATAATAAAGTTACTATTTTCGAAAAGTAAATAAGAAATTATATAGTAGGCTAATAAAATACATTGAAAAAAAATTACATAACACCTTAATGGTGGTAGGTTTTGTAAACAATTAAATTTTAAATTTCCGTATTTTTAAGATGTGATGAAGGCAGATGGTCATGAAACGTGAGACGTGTAGCGAGATAGGCGGACGATATCGTCGAAGTTGCGGGTCATTGTTGGTAAGATTGGCACAAGATCGTGTGGATTGACACAACCTACGGGAGGCTTATTACCCAGCAGTGGGTGAAGTTGGGCTGTTTATAATGATGATGAAATCCGCAAAAAAATCCATTTCCAATGTGTAACAATTGCTAAACCTAAAAATATATCCTTTTCCACATCAAATTGGATTTTATGATAATGGGCACCAGCCTAATAGCATATAAAGCTGATGCCACATATATGTTGATTTTTTTTACTTTATTTTTTGTTTTTAGTTTTTACACTTTCTCAAAAAATTACTTTTCGAATTTGGTCACATTATTGTTGAGGGATAAGATCTGGCTATAAATGATTAAGTGTCATTATACACGATTTTATGTGGAATTGCAAGTTTGTTTTAGTTTATTATATCCATTAGAACCTATTTTATTTGTCAGTAATTTAAAACGGATTTGTTAGGATTAAAAGGATTTGTTATATTTTTTAGTTGCAATAATTTAAAACTGTCATTATTGACTGGTATGTACGTTTTGAAAATTAGTAAAAAAGACCTGAAACAATTTTGTTATTTCTGCCTAAGCTTGAGTTAGAGGGAAACAAGACATGGAAGAAAAATATGGCGCACATACATTTTTCGAGCTCAGTTGTTTGAACAATTTTATTTGATTATAAATGTTAACACAGTGTTAGGTCATGGAAAAATTTTCATTTTGAAAAAGTCATATTTTTCAGATTATATTTTTCGTATATTTTTCCACATTTGACAGTTGAGATTTGTCAAAAGATGACAATACTGAACGAATTGAATGAACTGGAGTCATTATAAAGGTTTTATGTACCTATGATTTTTTTTCGTTCTTGTCCAATCATTTTCAATCTCGTTTTACT